AGCTTTGGTGGTGAATTTCTTTTTTATGTTCTTCAAACAGAAAATGTAAAATTTTCTTTGATTCTTGGCAATTCTTCTCTCCATAATGCCTTGGATATTTTTTCTCCCCTATTTCATCTAATCTCTTCTTTGGTGATTGCTGCTAAACTTATGCTGAATTTTATGCTGACGTTAGCCATGCCACTTAGCATCTCATATTTTTATTTCTTTACCACTCTCTGTGAATTTACAGGTAATTTCCTCAGGTCTGCATTTCTGATTGTCAATTAAGCAGTTTCTAATCCTTTGCTCAGCTCATTCACTGAATTTTTAGTTTCAACTGTATACAATTCTTATTATATATTCATTTATTTTAATATAGTGGTCTATTTTGTATTGCTTTTTCCTATTCTTTTTTCTTTTTACTTTTGCATCATATTTTTATGATTGTATATTTTCCACATATTTTTGTTTTATCATTTTTCTGATAAAAATATTCTCATATATTCTTGTTTATACAAATCAGAGTATCTTTTTCTTTCTAGTTCTTAGTGTACAAACATTCTGACTTTCGTGGCTTCTGAATTCATTTTGTAGTTATTTTCCTTTTGTGCAGTGCATACTTTCATGGTGAGCTCATCGTCAGGTAAGGCTATCCTCTCTTTCCTGTGGGAATACCACTCGTCTGACTTGTTGAAAATTTTTAGAATAAAGGGAGAATAAAACTGACCCTGTTCCCATGAGGCACACAGGTTTGGGTGTTTGATTCCTCACCGCACACTAATTTTTCCCCACCTAGAGCCCCAAAGGAAAAAGAAAGTTACTACTGCCGCTTCCAGTTTGCAGGTGGAAATTTCTAGTGCCTGTGTCACTGTCAGGGGACAATTCCAGAGTCCAAGCTTAAGTGAATTTCGTTTTAATTTCTCTGTGACTGCAGATCCTAACGTCAAGTGCTAGAGAGGCCATTCACCTCCAATATCAACCTCTATTTTTGGATGAAGACCAGCCTCCCTTTTCCTACCCCATGAACTTTGTTGCTCAGCTTTGCTTGGGTTTATGCTTAACTTAGATTTTCCTTTAAAGGAGGAGCTTTCCTTCCCTTTAACTTAGAATTCCTGATATCTAGGAATTTCCCTCTCCTGAATACATGATTACAAATTGATTTACTCTGTTTCATCCAGCATACCTGTATCTAAAGTGGCAGAAGTGGTGTCCATTTTTCTTAGTATGATATTTTACCAGAATGCTAGCCATTTAAAAGTCATAATAGAAATAGTGGCACCTGGGTGGATTCGTCCGTTAAGGGTCCAACTCCTTATTTCAACTAATGTCATGATCTCACAGTCACAGGATCAAGCCCCATGTCCTGCTCTGTGGTGACAGTGCAGAGCCTGCTTGGGATTCTCTCTCCCTTTCTCTCTGCCCCTCCCCCACTCACCCTCTCTGTCTCTCAAAAATAATTGAATAAACTTTTTAAAAAATTGTTTGTTTTTTAGAATTGATTTTATTTCATTTATTTTTTTAAATGTTTTATTTATTTCTGAGAGAGAGACAGCGTGAGCAGGGGAGGGTCAGAGAGACAGGGAGATACAGAATCCAAAGCAGGCTCCAGGCTCTGAGCTAGCTGTCAGCACAGAGCCCGACGCTGGGCTTGAACCCACAAACCATGAGATCATGACCTGAGCCGAAGTCGGACACTTAACCGACTGAGCCACGCAGGCGACCCCCCAAAAAGAATTGTTTAAAGTTATAATAGAAATATATTTAGACTTGAGACCTTATAACAAAGTGCTTTCCTAAAATATCTACCTCCTAGGGCGCCTGGGTGGCTCAGTCGGTTCTGACAGCTGAGCTTGGAGCCTGCTTCGAATTCTGTGTCTCCCTCTCTGCCCCTCCCCTGCTCACGCTGTCTTTCTCTGTCTCTCAGAAAAAAAAAACAAAAAAAAAAAAAAACAAAAAAAAAACATTAAAAAAAATCTACCTACTTTATTAAGTACGATATTTCTTCCTAAAAACAATTATGAAAAACTATTACATGTTATAGTGTAACAGAATACATGTGCATATGTTTATTGGTTAATATGCATTTCGGATATGAGCACTTACATAGATATCATTTTATTTGGATTTAACTCTCCAGTATCTTAGCAGCTCAATGAAATGTTACTTGATAAATGTCATATTGATCGATCTATGTTGTTTTAAATAATCAGCTGACACCTATGTCAAATCGTGTTTCTGTAAAACAGAATGAGCTACCACATTTCCCTACATGAATAAATATCTGTGCAGTATTTAAATTATATGTGTATCGTATTGGAACACTGGGTATTTATTATTTTTATAAACATATAGCATATTATATGTATGCATATTATGATATAATTCATTTGAAATATGCATATAATTAGTTATTTTTTAAAATCATGTAGATATCTATTAAGATCTATTTTCTGCAAGTTTTTATCCTAAAAAAATTAGTTTATAAGGGTTTATAGTCATCTATTTAAAGTATCACACAGTGGAAAGGCAATTCTTTTAAAGATGCTACTCACTTAATTGTTCATGTTTTTATGTTTTCTTAATTGCTATTTATTGTGGTTGGTTTTTTTAATGTTTATTTTTATTTTTTTTATTTTTTGAGAGAGAGACAGGACAGGGGAGGGGAAGAGAGACAGGGGGCGTGAGAGACAGAGGAACTGCCGTGGGCTGTGGGCTAACAGCCAGAGCCCAAGAGTCTGATGTGGCGCTCGAACTTACAAACCACAAGTTCATGAGTGGAGCCAAAGTCAAGACATTTAATATACTGACCCACCCAGGTGCTCCTATTGTTGTGTTTTAATGTCTTTAAAGCTTCCAGTGTCTCTGTAGGAGGCATTTTTCTTAAGTAGGATTGCAATTGCTCTACAAGACAGGCAGGCAGGGCAGGCAGAGGGCAGGAGACAGCTCAAGGGGCTGCCCCCCCCAGGGGTGCCCCCCCCCGCCCCCAGCTTTGCATCCCTCACTCACTCCTTACTCTCTCCTTGCAAACACCAGGCGTCTCCGGATTATGCATGCATGACAGGTGTATGAAAACATTCCCCTTCTCTTTTTCCAGTTTGATTTCCTATATTCTAGACACTCAGGAGGTTTCTCTCCCATTTTAAGCTCAGCTTTGCCTGTCCTGTATTTGAACAAGTGATGAAAGTTAGAGATTTTGGTGGAATTTTATGGAAGAAATAAAATTCACACATGCCACATTTTCGTAAATATTAGAGAACATGAACTAAGCCCTTAGGTTTGTCCATAAAGACACACAGCACGAAGAGGGAGGTATCCTTAAACAAGCGATTGCCGATGAATTGCTACATGGTCTTGGTCTAGACTAATTTGTCATTTCAAATAATATTGGAATAAAATGTACTATATATAGAAAATTTACTATGTTCTAGTACAAGACAACTTTTGCCATAGATGATGGACTTCCTGTCAATTTACACAGACAGGAGTTTTATTGTTTCAATAGTCAAGAAAGCACCTAAATTACCGATGATGTACACCAATTATGTAACTATTACAATATTTAGCTTGTTATTTCAAACATTCTTGTCCCAATAAATGTACACTTCATATTAATACTAATATTTACTTCTTCTGTTATACTTTAAATTTTTAAAATATTTTTATTTATTTTTGAGAGAGAGAGAGAGTGAGGGAGGGGCAGAGAGAGGCAGAAACAGAATCTGAAGCAGGCTTCAGGCTCCAAGCTGTCAGCACCGAGCCCAATGCGGGACTCGAACCCACAAACTGTGAGATCATCACCTGAGCCAAAGTTGGATGCCTAACCAGTTGAGCCAGCCAGGTGCCCCTTGTGTTATACTTTAATGTTTGCATGCACATGCACACATACAACAAATCGAAGCATATAATTTATAGCTTCCTAGATAAGACTAATGAATTAATAAAAACTCTTATTAAGGTTCCAACTATGATCGAGAACAACAAAATAATAAGTACATTCATTTTTTATAACAGTATGACATTCTAACGTTTTCAATGGATTGTTCATTCTCTCAACTAATGCAGATAACACTGTTTAATTCCAGGGTTTTGGAACTGATTGCTATAGCTAAAGGAAATCAATTCTATCATTTTAGACTTGTGCACGTCTCCATCTCCTCTATGTGTATAAGCTGTAGGTGTAATGTATCCCTTGACATTAACATGATGAGCTATTAGGCTGGGGCTATGTACAACAAATAAAGTTGTATTTCTCAAAGTGCTCTTGGGAGGAAATCTTGAGGCTTTAATCAATTCCACTACATCTTCTTACATTTTTTGTAATAAAACAGGAGAATTTGAATATGGTATTTGCTGGCACTCTGAGTTTAAACTTCAGAAGATTATTTAAAAATCTGGAATGTAACCTATGATGAATTATTTTCAGAGTTAAATACAAAGCTATGGGAGATCTGAGTGCACAGTAGCTTTAAAGGGTTGCTGTTTGTAGTGCTGTATATTTTTTTTTAACATTTTTATTTACTTCTAGGAGAGAGAGAGAGAGAGACAGGGTGAGCAGGGGAGGGTCAGAGAGAGAGGGAGATAGACTCTGAAATAGGCTCCAGGCTCTGAGCTAGCAGTCAGCACAGAGCCCGACGCGGGGCTCGAACGCACAAACTGCGAGATCATGACCTAAGCGAAAGTCAGACGCTTAACCGACTAAGCCAACCAGACACCCCTGTAGTGCTGTATATTTTTAAGTTAACAGACTAGATGGGTAATGGGAGAAAAGTGTGTTTGTTACAAAATGTCACCTATTCTTAAGGTGAACTGTCCTTCATGCGTTTGTAGGCTTTTAGACAAATGGGTGGTGTCTTGCAGCAGTGAACTTGGCTGTAAAGACACATGAGTGCCAGATATAAAATAGTGGATGTTTACAAGAGAAGTTGTTACAATTTGCTTAGCGGGCATAGCAGAACAGAGAAGCAAAGGAAAATGACCTTCTGTCTTGACGGTGGACATTACCAGAATATACAACTCACCTTACAGTGACAGGGTCCAAAACAAGGGTCCTCGTTTGTGCTCCCTGCGCCACTGCAGTTACAGGGTTTGCAGTCTGGATAGCCAGTGTAGCCCCTGGCACATCGATCGCAACTCACGCCTCTGAAGCCAGGTTTGCAATGACAGGACCCAGGTGCCAGACCTAAGGGAAGACGAGCCACATGCGGACACTTTAAAGGCAAATACATAATCTCGTTCCTAAGGTTTTAATTATATAGTAATGCTTAAAATTCTATTTTGACACAAATGTTGGAAAACTGATGCATATCTATAAAAAAAAGAGAGAAAACCAAAAGGTAGAAGGCTCAGTTAGAAGCTGGGTACAATTCGTTAATGCAGCATCTTTTGGGCATCTTTAAAGATATTAAAAATAAAAACAAAAGATAAAATCTCAAAGCATCTACCAAAACTAAGACTGCAAAAAAAACCTGTCACAGTGGTTGAGGACTAATTTCCATAAATGACTGGCGACACCCAATGAAGAATAAGCAGTGACCTGTGACGCCTGTTGGTTCATAACTCAAGCTATCAGGAGATGGAAAGTGCCTGGGAGCAAAAATATACTACTTAACCCAAAAATAAAACAACAATAATCTAAGTATGACATCACTGAGTTTAACAACAACATGTGAACAGATATTTTGAGGCTAAGGGAGGAGGAACATGAAAGCAGTTTAAATTTACTTTTTCTTTTTAAATAGAGAAATGCAAAAGACAATTTTTATTCTCGTCTTTGATTAGAAAATAGAAAAATGCAGATGAGTAAATACAAGTTACTGACTTTCAAAATCTAGAAAAATATAAAAGCAAATCAGTAAAATAGCGCCTGCTCAAAAAAGAAAGGAGAAAGGAGGGGAAAGACAAGCAAAGAAATGTTACAGTGGGAAAGCACACGGAGGAAGGACAGGAAGACTGTAGGACCCACACACCAACCATGTGTAGTGAGTTCACGGTTTTACTGCTTCCATTACAACTGTGTGTGTGTAACGTTCACAAGAAATACACAAAATGATGAGAAATATTAAAAATAAAAGACTGTTAATCTACATTAGGAAAGCATACAGAAATGTAAAAACAGTTGTATGTAGTATTAGTAATGGCCAAAGGAGAATCCAATTAAAATAATAGGAAAAGCTCTCATTTTACACTGACGAAGATGCAATAAAAAACATGTTAAGTTATATTTATACACCATAGAAGCACTAATTTTAAATGCAAAAATATACAGACAGAAGATTTGGGGGCTCAAAGATCAGTGGCTGGTAATTACATTAACCTCCCACTTCAAATATTTGCAGATGAATTAGGAAAAAAAAGAAAGTGTGGATAATCAACTATTGTTGAATTACACCTAATATAGTATATAAATATCTATTGTGGCTTAATTAATCTATAGAAAGGTTCAATTTCTTAAAGCAGAAATGATCAAAGTCTTGTTTTCTTAACATAAATTAGTACTTCTACATTTGTAACATATGTCATAATAAATTAGGATTTAATTGATTCTAAATACCAACATGTTAATAGAATCTTAATCAAAATTCACCTCTCTAAAAATTAATGGATAAATATTTCTCCTTATAACTCTTGGGTAAAAGAGAAAATCAAGACTTCAACTGCAGATTAAATAATTTTCTAAATAGAACATAACAGCTGTGAGAAAGAAATTTAGCAATGTTTGTGGGATATAGAAAAAACAGTTGCTGAAAGTAAACTTTTAAGTTTAAATACTTCCATTCTTAATAATGTACACCAAATAAAATTAGTTCATGTAATTATAAAAAAAGAAAAAAACAAATGACCACTATAGGAAAGAAGGAAGATTTGAAAAATAAAGAAAAAGAAAATAAGGCAAAAAAAGAACCTTAAAAATAATGAAAGATATCAAAAGAAGACAAATGATCAAATAATTACCCCCAAAATGTTTTGATACCCGTAAGTTTTTACAGAGTGTTTTCAACATTTAAAAACATGGAAAGCTATGTAATTTAGTCTATGATGCTAGTAAAAAGTTGGTATCAAAATCTAGCAAAGATAGCCCCAAATAAACATAATAACAGCTAACAATTAAGTAGTCTAAATTTAATGGATCATGGAATGCTGATATAAGCTATTTATATAATATGATAAAGATACCATAGATGAGATACATAATAAAAATGTGTATATACTGGGGTGAATGAAGGAAGTGGCATAAATGAAACATTTGTCTTATTTTTAAATTAAAAGGTATATTAATGTTTATTTTTGAGAGAGAGAAAGAGAGACAGAGTGAGAGTGGGGAAGGAACAGAGAGAGAGAGGGAGACTTAATCGGAAGCAGGATCCAGTCTCAGCTGTCAGCACAGAGCCCGATGAGGAGCTCAAACTCACAAACCGTGAGATCATGACCTGAGCCCAAGATGGACACAACCAACTGAGCCACCCGGGCTCCCCAAAACATTTGTCTTTTAAGACGGTGAGTCAATACGCAATATTTAATGGTGATGAAAATACTAAGAATATCATTTAGTTACTGTTTATAAGATAAGTTCTTCCAGAAAAACTTAATAGAAGAAATGGCTCAGTGTGATTAAATTTGGAAATGAGACAGGGAATGAATAAATTGAAGAGGATGCTATTGCTATTGATTTTATTCTTTTTCCATCATCAAAACTGTATTTTTACTATGTATTGTTTTTGTAATAATTGAAAAATATTTTAATTAATGTTTATTAATTTTTGAAAGAGAGAGAGAGAGAAAGTGCAAGTAAGGAAGAGGCAGAGAGAAAAGGAGAGAGAAAGAAGTCCAAGCAGGCTTCAAGCCATCAGCACAGAGCCTGATGCAGGGCTCAGACTCATGAACCGTGAAATCATGACGTGAGCCAAAATCAAGAGTCAGATGTTTACCCAACTGAACTACCCAAAAACCACTAATTGAAAAATATTTATACACAAAAATCTTCACTAAAGCATTGGTTATAATAAACAAAACTAGAAACAATCTTAATATCTATATAAAGTTGAGTGGGTATGTAAATCATGGTTATTCAGATAATGATGTACTTTTCGAGTGCTAAAACCAGATTTCACAGCACCTCTCAGTGGTTTGGGAAAAACACATTATGTGAAGTTAACACAAACATGTTGATAAGAGTATTTATGATGAATTACCACTGCATTGTATGCTTATTTTTCTACTTTTCTACCTTTATCACTTCTTCACAAATAGTACACTTGAAGTACAGAAAAAAGCTAAATGATATTACTGAAAATAACATAATTTAGTTGTTACTACAAAACGATAAGGGGCCATAAAATGAAAAATGACCTCAATGACTCACCATTTGAGATTTAAAATAATCAGTATTTTAATCTTTTAAGACTGGAGAGTTTATGCTGATAATCCTACAGTTTTATAAAGAAAGCAGTTTAGCTAAACTGTGCCAAAGAAACATTGCCAGTCTTTTGACTTGAAACTCAATGGGGGAAAAATCCCTATATTGTAGCCATAATTTATTTTAGTCTTTCCTAAGAAGAGAATAATCCATTCTTAAAAATATTAAGAAACTGTTTCAGATATGTCCTAATGTTCTACTTAACTTTGGCAAGCAACTCTCTTGGAAATAACTCCTACACATTTCACATTAAGGAGTTATTTTGACATTTGATTTTTCAATGTTTGGAGTTCATCATGAATTTCAGTCCACAAGGAAAGTATTTGGCTTAAATTAGTGTCAGCCTCTTTCCCTTCATTAACTCATGACTACTACCTAATTTTAGTCTTTTATGGACATGTTTTGCTTTCTTTACTATTGACTGCACCTCAGAATGTGCTGTCTGTTCTCTCTTTCCATTACAGCACACACGTCTCACAGTGAATGCTGTCATTTCACGCTAAAACCCATAGAAAATACAGAACAATAAATAACATTTAAAAATTATATACATCACAGATTTCTGATTGACCAGAAGATATATATGCAGAGACATGTATATAATGCAAAATAAGTTATTCAACTCTTTTTGCTCTTAAAGCATTATAATTAAATAATTATAATTAGTTTACAGGTAAAGAATGATTGAGATAAATTTTAAAAAAACGGTTCCTGGAGGGAATGCTGACAGACATGAGAATAAAATTATTATTATTATTTAAAATATTTATTTTAAGAAAGGGGGGTTGAGCACAAGCGAGGGAGGGCAGAGGGAGACAGAAACAGAATTTCAAGCAGGCTTCATGCTGTCAGCAATAGAGTCTGCTGTGGGCCTCAAACTCACAAACAATGAAATCATGACCTGAGCCGAAATGAAATCAAGGGTAGGATGGTTAATTGAGCCACCCAAGTGCCCTGAGAACAAAATTATTAAGCAAATTAAATATATCACAAAATGTGATATCTGGCTTTGAGTTGCTGTTTTATCAGAACATCCCTCTGTGATCGAGCTCACCTCGTTGAGTACGTTTTTCATCCTTCACACAGACATCATTTAAGGAACCAATTGGATCACAGTGGCATGGCTGGCATGGTCTTGGATAATTTGGAGATACCTAACAAGAATATTAACAGGCTCTTCATCACATGTGATAAAAACACAAATAGTTTTCAATTCAGCAAATTTTAAGGACAAAATAAATTTAATAATATATAGGAATAAAGTATATTGAGAAAATAATGTAAGAAATTATCTTTAATATATATTTGCAATTTATAAAATCCCTTTCTTCAAAATGGATACACGCAAAGGTAAAGAAGATAGCACAGTAAACATCTATATATTTGTTACCTAGATTCAGCAATTATCAAGATTTTGCCATAGGAGTTCCATCATTTTTCATTCTTTGCTGAAGTTTTTAAAGAAAATTGCAGGTAGTCATTTAATCTCCATACATTTCAGTATGCATCTCTTTTATAATCACAGTATCATTGTTATAACAAACAAAAATAACAATAACTGCCTGATGGTCTCTAACATACATTCTGTCATAAAATCCTTCTGTTAGTTTTTTGTTTGTTTGTTTTGTGTGTTTTTTTTACAACATAGTTCAAAATTACTAATTTCTCCCCAAATTTATTTTTTAGGAATTTTTGTCACATTTATAGTGATATGATTAATTAAATAGAAATGTATACTTGATGCTGACAAAACAGATAATATTAAGTACTCAAATTAAACGTTTGGTTTCCAGGAGAGGCAGCATAACCTCAAGGGAAACAATGTAGTTTCCTCCACAATTAAGAGACATGAGTTCATATCTTACTGTGGCCCCACTGGCTATGTGGCCTCTTGAAACTTATTGACTTCCTTGTGATAGGAGGAGAACACTAGCAACTATAGTGATGTTATTAAACTAAAATTAAAAGGATTAACATATAAAGGGTCTCATAAGATTCCTCAGATATATTAAATATTCAATACAACTAGTTTTAGTGTTATAATATCTTAATTAAACAAACCTAGACTGTGGCAATATGCTCTAATTAGAGCATTTCTTTTCCAGATGCAATAGGATAAAGAAAAAAAAAAGAAAAAAAAAAGAAAAAAAAACCACACAGTATGGTTTATATTATGGTATATAATATGGTATATTATGGTATATATTATGGTATATATAACTATGGTATATATGCTGAAATACTGTGCACATGCACTCTATGTGAGGTGTCTCTCTCTATAATAGGTCTATACATATAAATATATAAATTTCCCCCATAAAATATGGCCTTTATATATGTATATATCTATGCTTCATTTATAAATGTAAACTTTACTCATATAAGTCAAAGTGTCATAACTAGAGTGTTATTTACATGTCAGATAGACTATCAATCATTTAAGACACATTTATTCATTCCCCATAATGAAAGAAGCGCTGTGCAAAGCACAGATGGATAAAGCCGGGTCTTTGCCTTAAATAAGCTTACAAGAAAAACAGGCTTGAAGGACACTGATTAAATACAATGTGCAACATGATAAAATTGACACACGGAGCCTTATGGCACAGAAGAGGAGGCAGTGATAACACAGCACAAAGGAGTCAACAAAGTTTCACAGAAGAAGTGACATTTAGACTAAAGCTTGAAGTATGAGTAGAAATTTCAGAGTAGAATTGAGAAAAGGGCTTTTTCCCTCGGAAAACAAAACAGAACAAAACAAAACACCAAGACATGAAAACAAAAACATAAAACAAAAACAAAAACCCTCTGCGAACAAAAGACAAAAAATTTCTTTTGAATAAGACCTTGGCTGTTATAAATGTGGTTTATGATTCTAATGATGAACTTGAGTAAATAAAAGACCCCCAATTCATTATCCCTCTTTGTGGTAATTGGAGAAAGCTGCCTGAATCAGATTGCTGACCAGGAATCCTTCTAACACATGAGATTCTGTAAATATATCTACTTTACACGTGATTTTTAATTTTATTAAAATTTATTAAAATTTAATAAAATTAAAATTTATTAATTAGTTCTCAAAGTAAACACTGCATTATAGTTAACTATTAATATATGCATTTAGTAAATAATTCTTAAATCAGACTTTAGGATAATAATTTTTAAAATATTGTAAAGATGTTATTTATCTATAAAACTGTAATGCAAAAAAAATTGTGTTCTATATGTTTATAAAACAAGAAATAGACTTCTACCCAAATATTAGGCTGGTAAGAGATTTGAATTTTTTTTTTTTATAAATATTTTTTTTTTAATGTTTTATTTATTTCTAGGAGAGAGAGAGAGAGAGACAGCGTGAGCAGGGGAGGGTCAGAGAGAGAGGGAGTCACAGACTGAAACAGGCTCCAGGCTCTGAGCTGGCAGTCAGCACAGAGCCCGACACGGGGCTCGAACCCACGAACCGCGAGATCATGACCTAAGTGAAAGTCGGACGCTCAACCGACTAAGCCACCCCGGCGCCCCGAGATTTGAATTTTTTAACACATAGTATAGCATAAGTATTTTTATAAGTATTAAAATACCATAATCTAGGCTCATTTTCACTTAATTGACTTGTAATAAAACTTGAAGTTTCCATATTTGATAATGACAGAGTGTCTTGTGTGGTCCAATGTATTCTTAGATAACAATTATTCATTCCGGACAAAATATAAAAGTCAAGAATTTGAGGGCCTTTGGAATTAATCAAAAGCAGGCAGATCTTGGAAGAATTTGAGGTTTGAAGGAAAAAAAATACATCAGCTGAGATCTCTGTTCAGAGATGGTGAGCACCAAAATCTGCATGTCAACACTCCTCAAATGCTTAATTAATCCCTTATCCGTACATCCATTCAGGAGACTACCAGTCCAGTGGAAATTAACCACTGCAAAACTCAATAATGTGCATGAAGAAACAGACACTGGAGTTGTCAACCAAGTGAGCGAGATTAGAAAACCACCTTGACCTTTCTGTTAATCTGCCTTAGCACAGTGTAAAAGTAAGCCTCTACCCCTTCATAGTAATCAGTAAATTAACTACCAATTAGTACCGAATTCAGAAATCCTCAGAGGAAGATAATAGACTCATGTCTCTACACTGTATCATCCAAAATGTCTTGTACAAATGATAAATTCCTAGACATGAGAAGAAAGAAGAAACTTTATTCAAGAAAAAAAATAAGTCAATAAAAGCAGACTGTGAGGTACTGGAATTAGCTTGGAAGGGCTTACATAGGTACTGTATATATGGCCAAGACATAAAGGAAATAATGTTTATAAATAAGTGAAGCATGGAATATATCAGCAGAGAAATGGAAACTATAAAAAAATAAGATTCTAGAAAGCTGAAAAGTAAAACATCTCAATTAAAACTTAACCAGATTTACCTGACACTAGATTAGTAATGGCAGGGGGTAAAGTTGTATACAGATAAATAGAGATTTCCAATCTGAAGGATGAAGAAAGGAAGTGTTTGTTTAATTAGCACAGCCTGAGTAACATAGGACACAATCAGGGAACCTGATGTGTATTCTAGTTGGAGTTTCAAAAGGAAAAGAGATAGTAGAGCTCAAACAGATACTAGGTCTCTGTTTCTTTTCATTCTTCTCCTCTTCCTCCTCCCCCTTCTCCCCTTCCTTCTAGTTCTTGTACATCTTGTTCTTCTTAATCTTGTTCTTTTCCATTTTCTCCTTTTCCCCCTCCTCTTCCCCTTCTTTCTTGCCTTCTCCACACCATCTTCTTCTTTTAACAAACATTTACTTTTTTAAAATGTTTGTTTATTTGAGAGAGTGAGTGTGTGTGAACAGGGAAGGGGCAGAGAGAGGGGGAGGGGGGGAGAGGAACAGAATCCCAAGCAGGCTCTGTACCATCAGCATAGAGCCTAATGTGGGGCTCAAACTCACATTCCTGGAGATCATGACCTGAGCTGAAATGAAGAATCAGATGCTTAACCTACTGAGTCACCTCGGTGCCCCTTAACAAATATTTAAAATGTCCAAAACATTCTTTGTTTGTAGGACATGCAAAAGTGGGTCATGAGCTAAATTTAATCTAGGATCCAGAGTTTGCCAGTACATGAACTAACTACTAAATTGCAATGCATATATATATATTTTTTTTTTTTCTTTATATTTGCATTTGCAAATATATATATATATTTTCTTTATATTTGCATTTGCAATGCATTTGCAATGCAAATATAAAGAAAATACCTTGAAATCAGAGAATTAAAGACATAATATATACGCTGACATAAAGATCGCAAAAGAAGGAATTTATAAACAGAAACATGAATGTATACTTCTAAATAATCTAGTTTAAATTACTTGAACTAATAAAGGAACTTAGGTAAAGTATATAACATCAATATTTGAAAATCTTGCTAATAACATTAAATAATTTTATAATTATTTTTTATAATAATAAACATATTGAGATTTAACAAAATATATCCAAGTTCTCTATACTGAAAACACTGCTGTGAACAATTTAAAAACATTTTAATAAGTTGAGAGATATACTATATTTATTGATTGCAAGACTCAATATTGTTACTGTTAGTTCTTTCATATTTGTATTTAGATTCTATACAACAATCCAAACTAATATTTCTGCCATTGACAAGTTCATTCTAAAATTTGTACAGGGAAAAATAAATTGTATGGGAATATAAAGAAACTATTATGTCCAAAACAATCCTCAAAAGGAAGAATAAAGTTGGTGTGTGTACATTCCTGAAATCTATTTTATTGAAGCTAAAGTAATTGAGATAGTGTGCTATTAACACGAGGATGAACAAATAAATCCATGGGACAGAACTAGAGCTCTAAAAACTGACACATGGAAATTGATTCATATGATTTGCAACAAATGTCTCAAAGCAGTTTAAAGGAATAAAAGAAGTTAACAAAAATAAAGGTTCTGGAAAAACAGGTTAACCATGTGAGATCTCAATCATCATTTTATGCCACACTCAAAGATTTGCTTGAGATGGCCCATAGATCTATAAGCTAAAACTGTAAAGTTTCTAGAGTTAAAAAAAAATCTTGGCTTGGAGAAGGGAAACTTCATAAAGGAAAATATAAGAATAGCCAATAAGCACTTAATATGAAAATTAAATCCATAATATGATCTGCTGTAAATTCATAAGAGATCTGTGGTTGCACTAAGCAATGATGGGAATGATTTAGTGATTGCCAAATACCGACTTGCCACACCCACAGTATTGGCTAGAATAGCTACTTCATAAAGATTGTCAACACCAAATATTAGCGATGATATGGAAGAACTGGAACTCACAGACATTTTTGGTGACCGTGTAGAATACTGTTACTAATCTGGCAAAATGTTAGCAGTTTCTTATAAAATCAAACATATGAATATCCTATAAAACAAGTATTTTATTCCTAGATGTTTATGCAAGCAACGTAAATAAAACAAGACCCAAAAAAACCTACATAAAATATAAGTCTTTTTGTGAACATGTTTCACTTACTATAAGCAGTGTTTCATAGGAGCTAACCAAAAACTGAAGACGACACTAATATCCACAAAAAGAATGGATTAAAAGTTTGCAGTGCGTTCATGCAAAGAAATACTCCAAAGTCAGCGATGTTTTCTAAAAAAGAACTATTGATGGACACACTACAGATAACTCTTTACATGTTATACCGAGGAAAAGAAGGAACACAAAATAGTTTGTAGTTTATTTCAAATCATCAGACTCACTACAAAACAATACTATGTTATGCTCTAAAAATCAAAACAGTGCCATGGAGTGATGATTGATTGGAATGGGGCATGATGGAACTTTCCGGAAAGATGGAATTGTTTTATATCATGGTTTCCTTTTGAAACATTCCTAGTCACCTCTTAGAATTTGCAGTTCAACTGTTCAAAGAAGCTTTCAAAAATTATTTTTCTGTATGATACACCTCTGTATGAAAAAGCCAGAAATAACACTTCATGAAAGAGAAAGAAAAAGTGTGCTTTACCCCTTTGGGTCTGAAGAAGCCATCAATGCAGGTCTCACAGTTTATACCAGCCGTGTTTTGGGTACAATTCACGCACACACCCCCTCCAATGTACTTTCCATGTATATTTAAACTCAGATTTCTTCTGGCAACATTTTCATCATAATAGCATTCTTCAGCTTTCCCATGGCAATTGCACGCTGCATTAGGGAAAATAAATTTATAAACCTTAATTTCACGTTTCAGATGTATTCAAAAATCATTTTCCATTACAAAATAGGTTTTTATATTCAATGAGAAATAACATTACATTAGCATGTGTATATATATGTATAAAATCAGTACAAAAGTATCTAGAAAGTTTTTGAATTTAGTGAATATATTAATAAATTCACACTTTTTAAATAGAACATGAAATAATTAAAACATATAAATTAAGCTGAATGATATGAAATTGCCAATATTTGACTGACTTTATCTTCTAAAACTGAAATTTTATATGGTTCAACCCATAACTTCCTATTATGTTAAACCATAAATTATTGAACTGTGGCACTGAATGATTTATATCCAGGTAATCTGTGCTAGATAATTATTATATGTGAAACTCCAGTGCTAGATCCTATGGATAAAAAGGGGCACTTAGGACATAGTTCCTTTTTTGTACTTCTAATAATAACTAAAACTTGGAGGTTTTATATGCTATGTTCTGTTTTATATTTATGACCTCTAATTTCAATTCGCAAAACAGCTTTATGAGTTAGGGACTTATATTAACCACCTTCCATTTATTAGGAACTGAGACAAAGAGAAGTGAAATAATTATAAAAGTAACCAAATCAGGGGTGCCTGGCTGGTTCAGTTGGTAGAACATATGACTCTTGATCTGGAGGTTGTGAGTTTGAGCCTCGTGTTGCATGTGGAGATTACTTAAAATAAAATCTTAAACAAAACATGGTAACCAAATCAGTTTTGTCAACCCCACTAATTTAGGTTCCAAGTCTAAAGGGCTAACCACTGGCACAAATCCTTTCAAGTGCTAGTTGATAAGAGATATAAAATGTATCATATGTGCCAAGTAATCAGGACAAAATGTAAGCTGCTTTGCGTAGTGGCTGAGATCACACCGTTCGGTACCAGTCTTGGATATCCAGTACTTAGTAGTCACCTAATGTAGGGAACTTAATTTCATTAAGGCTCAGTTTCCATAAACACAGAGAGGTCAATAGTACATACCAGATAGGGATATTTAAGTGAGAAAATGCCTGTAGAATCATTAGCATAATGCCTTGTAAATAAGTTCTTAATTGATTTTCCTGCCCACTCCCCTCCCTTTGATCCTCATCTTCAACATAGGAGTTCAGAAATGTGAAAAAAAAAATCATTCCCTTAGAAATACTGGGTACAATTATTTATAAAATGGATAAAATTTATTTTAGGATATGAACTAAGGGGAAAGATATCCTATGCAGAATCTCCATCCTCAGATCCTGAGTTTCGTTGATGTTCTTACATGGATTTCCATATATACGTGTGTTTGGCCAGGTGACGAGGGGTACATTTGTGTATGCAAGCTCATGTGTGGGGCACATGGCTCAATCTTTTTTTTTTTTTTCCACAAGGGAAACATTTATATACTGTTCTGACCTATTGCCAAATCTTAGTAACACTAAATAGCATAGCTCTTTCTCTATTAGGGTGTTTCCCCCAGGGCTGCACAGGATACTTCTGGAATGGGATGTCTATCAGCATCCTATTAATGGTCAGTTACACTGTTTCCAGATTTCTGGGTTATAAGTAACACAGTACCTACTGGGAGAACAAAGAAATGGGAGAGAGGTGGGGTTCTAATGTCAGACTGCTTCCCGTTTTGCCAGTTTCTCTGAAGAGAAAATTTAAATCTTGGTGTTATTTTAGTGCTTCCCTCTTACGGTTGTTTTGAGAAAGCAAAACACCCATAGGAATGCCTGAGCCATAGGAAATACTCAGCTGCATAAATGTTAGTAGCAGTAGCAATTGTGTACTAATGACAGAATTATTATGTGCTCTGTACAGCTATACAGCTACAGCTATACGCTAAATACCTACAAGTATCATTTCTTGTCCAATTTTCCCGATTTTAACTTCCTTTAACTTGTAAAATGTCCCTCCAAAAATGCTGTCAAATTAGTCTCTGTCCAATATATATGATAAAACTGTTTAACCATACATAGTCTTATCAGCACTGTGTATAATCAACCCTCTTGGTTCAGATCTTGGACATAGTAAAGTGTTCAAGTATTTGTTGAGTGAATGAATGAACGCTTTGATAAGTTTAAAAGAATATTTTCATTGTTTTAATTGGTACTTCTTTAATTAAGAATAAGTGGGGGGGGGGGGGCATCTGACTTTGGCTCAGGTCACGATCTCAGGGTTCATGGGTCCGAGCCCCGCGTCGGGCTCTGTGCTGACAGCTCAGAGCCTGGAGCCTTCTTCTGATTCTGTGTCTCCCTCTTTCTCTGACCCTCCCCTGCTCATGCTGTCTGTCTGTCTGTCTGTCTGTCTCTCTCTCTCAAAAATAAATAAAACATTAAAAACTTTAAAAAAAAAGAATAAGTATGATAACCTCTTTAGGGTTATAAGTCTTTTCTTTTCCTGAGAAATGCTTGTTCTAATCTTTGCTCATTTTTAACTGGTTTATTGAATTCCTTCTTTCTTTTTGTATAGAAGCTGTCTTAGTATAGTAAGAGTATTATATCCTTGTCATGTTTGTAGCAAATACCTTCTCCAGTCTGTTGACTTTTGATTTAAAAAAGAGTATTCTTGCCATTTGATGGAAAGTTTTCAAACTTTATTCTAGGGAAACTATAGTTATAAATATAAATAACTAGGCATTATAAGCAGTTTTATATCTTTAGGACAATACACACAAATTCTTAAACATCCTGTTGTAAAAATATATTGCAAGAAATAGTCAAGATTTCTTCTTTCAGTTTAAGTAGAGGAAAATATAGAGGAATGCAAGCTGATTCTCACCTTATTTAGATTTAGCATTATAACCATGACCTAATGTAGGTAAAACACTGATGTCTGGGAGTCCTGCTTTTCATATCCCATGCAGCCAGGGCTCTCTGCCTATAGCCCTGGGTGCTGTTTAAAAGGCCATGCACAGCTCCCCATTTATAGCCTCTGAGAACACGGATAGTACCTACTCACAAAAAGCAATTTTTCACTCTGCCATCAGTGGTTTGCTATTTCACAGAATGTCCAAGACATGTGATGGAAACAGTCTTTAGTACAGGCTTAGCAATGGAAGAAATATTCTTTGCTCTCTAAAGATATATCCTCCTGCAAATAAGCCAGATTGGTGAAAATTCGAATTAAACTCCAATGAATTAGTAGGTAATTATTCATCTTCTAGAAGGATCTGCCATGTTACAGAAGGATTTTTCTACATATTAAGGTGATTGGAATACAATTCAACTTGGAAAAGAAAATTTTTCCTATTAGCTTTCAGGAATGCACACATTACCAAAAACACAATATATATGCGGGGTTTTGTGATTGGCATTCCTATTGTTAATTTGTAGGGGGAAAAGAGAAACATTTTTTAAGCTTGGAAATTCTATCTCCCATCCGTCCCACAAGAAAAGGTTATTGTTTCAGAATGTCACTATTTAAAAAAAAAATGTATATATTAACAAGTGGCAATCTGCTTGTGTGTTGCTTTGTCCATCCCTACCGCTACCAAATTTAAACTACACTTTTTGTTTTCTTATTTACACATATATACACAAGTGGGGAGTGGTAAAGAATTTTGCAGATCCATTTCACATTACATAATTATAACTGTGCGATGGAACGTTAGGGGCAACAGGAATAATCCTGCTCTCAAATGCTCCCCCTTCTCGTGATTGCTGCTATTCTGCCAACAGAATTGGAATACAGTTAAATTTAAAGAAGTTTGAGACTATAAGTGGCATTGCACTTAAATTCACTCTTAGGGATGAATGTCTGCTCTCACTGGGAGAAGCAGTGGAGAAACCGAGGGACCTACTATGCCTGACACATGACACATTATGATAAAGTTGTTTTTTTTTTTTTTCATAAAAATACAAAGTTGGTATTAGCTTAAAATTCTATAAAGCCTGTTTTTGGTGGCCGTATATATCTATGGAACTGAAATGTGGTTAGGACCCACTAAGATATTAATATCTGAATTCAGTTGAATTGGGCTTCATGGATGGCATTGATTTATAGCACAAGTCTTTGTTTTTAGGTCTCATCTTGGCCTGAGCACATTTTCAGAAACCCAGGTTTCCCTAGCATCCCAACCGCCATGTTGGGCCAGTTGGCAGAATTAGGCTTAAAATCATCTGCTACACTTCTTGGGTATTTCCCTTCTGAAAACACTGGACATATGAGTTACCTTCAAAAGTGATAATACTAAAGTATTAATGGCTATTTGTTGACACATGTTTGCATAGCCTGTTGCTTTACTATTTTTCATTACTGGCTCTTTTCTTGGTTGTCACTGTCCCATAACTGCTACAGCATAGTTCATGCTAATGATTATCACTGTGCCATTTCTAATTCTAGTATTTTATAATGTTGTTAATGAGAAACCACACATTTAAAATATCTATCATCACCATTAAAATAAATATTCTATTTCTACAAATTTGTTTTCTTGTCTTCTCTGTTACCTTTTATTCTCATATTCTTCCAAGCTACTGGACCCAAACATCACCCTTTAATAAGTATAACTAATGAATCAGAGTGGTTTTGTTTTGTTTTGTTTCTTAGGTGATAATATAGCTCTAAACATTAGGTATAATCTCTCCCCTCTGGTTTTCCTCCATTTACTAGATGATTGGTATTCAAAAGCTATTTACCAGAGGGTGTGCAGGGGGGTAGGGAGCTACAAAGGAAGAAGGCAGAAAAAAAGCTGGAGCTATACTGGTTCCAGAATCATTTTATAATAAACATATAAACACATTTAGAAAACTGGTCTCCAAAGAGTGTAGGTTTTGCTGAATGCTTCTTTGCATTTCAAGTAGTGTGTGTGTGTGTGCGTGTGTGTGTGTGTGTGTGTGTGTACATAGTTGTCCCTTGAACAATATGGATTTGAACTGTATGGGTCTATTTATATGAGGATTGTTTTCAATTAAATATATGGAAAAATTTTTTGGAGATTTGTCACAATTTGAAAATATTCACAAATGACCATGCAGCCTAGAAATACCCCCCCTAAAATTAAGAACAGGTTAGATAATATTATAAGAATAGAATATATAATACATATAACATACAAAATATGTGTTAATGGTGTTATTGGTAAGGCTTCTGATCAACAGTAGGCTATTCATGATTACATTTCTGGAGAATCGAAGTTATATACAGATTCTGATTGTGTGTGGGGTCAGTTTCCCTAACCTCCACATTGTTAAGGTCAACTGTGGAGGCGTGTGGATATGTGTGTGGATAAGCCAGAGATCTACGCTGATGATGGTAAATGTACCCTACGCTTTTACTATTCTTTTATCTATTTCTCATAATACCCACACAGTGGTAAAGTCATGGGTATTTGGTAAGTTTTGTCAAATTACAAAAAACAAAACTGAGTAACTAAAACAGTGCAGTAAAGAAGCCTACCAGCTATTGCCTGAGATAAAATATCTAAACTGGAAACATGCACTTACCTAAAATCACCACATGTTCATACTACCTGCATACCAGAAAATGAAGAACTATGTATATTGCTGAATTCTCAGGAACATACCTTCGCATTCAGTTTTAGTCAGAAAAGTGCCAGCTCGCCAAGGTTTCTGATGAAATCCTGGACAGCACTGATCACAGCTATCACCACATGTATTGTGCTCACATTCACAGCGGGATTTCTGGTCAGAAATTGGGAGAAAAGCATAATTTTAATAATTTTTAGAACCATAAATGAAAAGCTCTTCCCAAATGGGTAGAAGGAAGAGAAAAGAAACCTCTGAGATCATGTAACAAAATGTGAAGCTCCTGTCAGTCTGGAAAGAGGTGCCAGACTTGGAAGTGGATATATCTGATCAACACCAGCCTAAGGAGGTTCAGGCTCGTTCTGGAATCACTTGGCTCAGGTTTAGAAAAGAACAGAGGTCCAATTGAGAATGGTCTTGAAGACTAAAATTCCTGAGATCTGCAGGTCTTCTGGTTTTAGAGGCAAAGTACTGTCAACATTTGGGGGCGTGAGAAGAAGAGAATAGGTTCGTAGGTTTATAGGCATCGAAGGGCATAATAGAAATCTAATGTCCCAGGACTGAATCTCCTGTCTGCATGTGCTCTGAGCACAGTCTCCATTTGTCATGTGGACCTGGCCCTGCAAGGCTGCCTTGCAGGCTCGCACAGCTTGGGTAACACTGCCCATCAGTTCACATGATCAACAACCATACCTACAGAGAAGCCACACCACAACCTTGCCAGAAAAAATATGCCAGGGCATTTGAACCTTCCCTAGGAAGTAGCATTATGATGCATTAGAAAACAAGCTTTGAGAGAAATAACACTTGCATTATGCTTTTAGAAGAAAAAGCATCTATACATAGCTAACTATGTTCACTGATCTCACTACTCAATATGTTTCTTCCATGTAATATAGAATAGATGGTTTTGTATTTTGCTAGCTTATGACTGAGAAAAATAGATGTTCATTCATCTTCTTTTTAGGTTGTGCTTACTTAATGCATTGGCATTAATGAAAACTTCAAGCCAAAAGCATTCTAGCATTTTCCGACCTGGAAGTTCCATCACACTCTTGAATACGATCTTCCATCCCTCTCCGTGTCGCTCCTGCCCTACCTCAGCTCCCTGCTCCACGGCCATTCACATTTACTTCCATGCACAGTTTTCATTTGTTTGCATTAATTTTTTGATGAAAACCTTTAAAAGAAATGGTTTGGTTGATTGACGGCAGGCATTCTCTGAAGCTAAATCAGACAGCAGGCTGTCAGAGCTAGAGAGGTTTCAGAATAGACCAGTTTTGGAGACTGTTGAGAGAAAAAAATGAACGTGTTTCCTGATACTGTGATGGCTGACTTCAAAGTCTATCATCCTAACTGCCAGCTTTATTTCACCCTGGCATGGCTCTCTGTTACACCGCCTAAGTGGGGACCTGACACCCATTCACAGCATCCCTACCGGCAAAGAGTCTCATGAAGCATTTTACAGTGCAGAGTTTCATTTTGCTAAGCATCCTATAAATATACATACATTTGTCACTGGATCAAGTGGACAAGCCCTGGCATGACCGTAGCAGATGCACATCCCTCCAACTGAAATATCCTTGACCGAGTAGTAATACTGCAAAAAGCAATCCAGGGAGAAATCCTGTTAAGCCGACTGCAAGGTGTAAGTAACAAAAGAGAACATTCGCTTAAAAACTTTACTTTCTGTTTTTTATCTTTTGTTGGAAGCAAGAGAGAACAATAGAGGGCTCACAAAAGGTATCAAAGAACTGTTGTCATATCCCAGAGAAAGAAGGCCTCTCATTTATGTTTGGCGGCCATTTTTGAAATTTCTTTCCCACAGATGTACAAAATCTGTGCTGGAGTATTTATCATTTGAGAACAAGTTGTCATGCTGGGGTTGGGGTGGGGGGAGCTTGCAAGTACAATAATTCTCCATAAAAGTTGGTTTAGGTAGTTTTTTGAAAGAAAATCTCCTTTATTGTCATTATAGGAAACTCTGATCATTACTCACATGCAGATGGTTTTACTTGATGGATTTGAAGAAACTCAACATATTTTGAGGAAATCATGCTCATAATAAAACAGGTCTTAACCACATTAAGATGAAATAAAAAGTAATCAACTACAGGACTTATTTAACAGACTTTAAGGAGTAAATACCATGATTGCAACACTTGCTTTTTATCATTATTTTGTTAAAATGTCCATGTGATTACTTTCCTATCTGAAATTAATTGGGGGCTATGTTTTTAATTGTTTTAATCTACACAGCTATTTTTAAAGATATTTGATAATTATAGTACTGGATGATTTAACATTTTTAATTAATATGCACAAAACATTTCATAATTGTGAGCACATTATTTTATAGAATCTAGGTAACTATCTCAGTGGTAGATAGCTCTATTATTCAATTATTCACATTAAAAAACACAGCAAGAATAAGTAGGTAAACACAAATCTGAGTTCCCTAACTACAAATTCCATTTTTCCATTTTTTTCTTTTTGTTTGCTTTTGTTGTTTACATAGAGTATCTTTTATAATATTTTTGTTACTTTTCTTACTTGATATTCCTAGACCTTGAATCTTACAATGAAACTTGCTAGAAGTTTAGGTAATGTAAAAGTCTGCTTTTCACTAACTTCATCACTTAGTAATATAGATATGAATAGGGATATTTGCTCAGAAAGCTGATACAGTACTTTTGTAGATGCTTTTAAAACTAAGAAATCTGTTTTTAAATATAAACTCATAACGCTTCACTTTTGAGTCATGAAGAGAAGCTGAAATTCAATATCCTATTTTTATATATTTAAATTTATATGTAGTGTTTACTGAACTTGAGTACTTTCAAAAAGCTTATTTATATGTTGCATTTTACTGCACTATTTTAAAGGCTCTTGCACAATGAAGTTATAAATAATAGATGTGCCTCCCAACCCCCACTCTGCCTTCTGCAAAAGATGATAAAAGGAACATATTTATTTACATTGATTTTTTTTCCTCTGTTAGATACACTGTCAGAAAAGATTAAATTTCACTTCAAAATTACTCAGTCTTCCTTAGTGTATATTTTCAAGTCATGCCAAAATTATAATTAAACATGATTTTTTAAACAAGCAAAGAATCTACACATTGCAGAAAAATCATGATTACCTCTGCATAAGATAATTTACAATATGTTGAAATATAATGCAAGGTAAAATTGTTTTAGGTTTGCAAAGTACAGGGCACTAAAACATCCAACATGTGTTGTACAGGGATAATCAAACTTAAAAAGTTACTTTTGTGATGATGGAGTGGTGAGGTGTGGGTAAGTTAAGTAATGAGAAGAAAATATATATGAGGGGTATTCATGAACTGTAAAAAGTGGTGCCGTTCAATATTCAGTGTGCTGGTTCAGCAATTTGTAACTCATGGCAATAGTCAGACCTTTTAGAAGTAAGTGCATCATTCTAGAACTAAGTGCTGTGTCTTACCATCTTATTTTCCTTCTACAATTCTATTTCCGTCTTCACCTCCAGTCATATAGTAGATATTCTGTTAGTGTGAATTTGCTTTATGGACATAGAGCTGAATTAGTAATAATGTCCTGGTTGCGTAGCCGCCTATAAATGCGACATAAACCAGTGAATGTGGTGAGGAATAGGTAGGAGGAAACACAACGATTACTCATAGGATCTGGACTGATCACGTATGTCATAATCCACACATTCCAGCTTAACACTGGAAATCAGCCTTTCTGTGATCTCTTAAAAGGGATGCCATCACTGTTTTTTATTTCTGATATTCTGTTTGTTTATAAAAGAAAAGAAAACAGTGTATACAATCAGTTTTCCCCTACAGTAGTGTTTTTTTAAACTATACCTTGTGACTCATTAAGGAAACACAAAGTTAAATGATTTGAATGGGCAAAATGGTCCACAGAAGAGTAACATTCACATCACCTAAGACCTTGTTAGAGTTATTCTTTCTCAACTCTGCCCTAGACCTACTGGGTCAGAATCTGTACTTCCATAATATCACCAGCTAATTCTATTCATATTAAAGTATCAGATATATTGTAATGTGTATGTGCATATGCATGTGCGTGTACTGAGTTGTGATATAAAATATACTTCTAAGTGTGGGTTGTGGTCAACAATGATTCCAAGACCCTGCATTCCTACAGTAGTTCCCCAGTGCCAATTATAATAGCAGTACAGATACCTAAAGTGACAAAACTAATTAGTCTTTGAAAATATGATTATGAACTAAGCATTATAGTCTCCATTTTATAAGTGAGGAAGTGAAGGTTTAAAAATGTTAAAAGTTTGATAAATGTTACATATCTAATAAGGGACAGAGTTTGGATTTGAACCAAGGAAGGTTATGTTAGTTTGGTAACAACCACTCCTACAGACCATTTAAAGATATCTTGTTAAATTATTTAACAATTAAGTAATTAACACTAAAAATATCATTTACAGGCCACAATATGATTCCTCATAACTTACTCTTCGTGTGACAATTGGGTCAATTTCTCTCGGGTCTTTGTGAGCGAACATCATCAAGTCAGCATTCAGGGTGCGGATTCTCTGAAATCTCAGGCGAATATATCGAGCGGAGGTGAATTCCAGTAGTTCAGGAGAAGGGTCATCAGCACTTGGTCTCCCGTTGATCAAAGAGATGTGTATCTACACCATATGGGGAATGATTTAACAAGGAAAGTTACCAAAAATAATATGTCTGGCTTTTTCTGATTTTTCTTGGAAGAATAAAGTTAAGTTTCACTTCTCCCTATAAGGCAGACTCAGGTTCATATTAACTCCCTGGAATGTAGTGAAGTAAATAAGGAAGTTTACAGACCTTTTGATACATGGATAAGCAATTCACTTGTTTATATTTTAAGCGTTCTCTAAATGTAGTGATTCCCCATTTTCTTTTGTTCCAAGGCATGGCATCTACTTGATTTTCCTAGGATTTCACTAAAATCCTAAGTCAGTCATTCTTTTTCTGAAAATTATTATGTGCTAAAATTATATCAGAATCTGGTATACAGTGGGAAATCAGAAAACTTGATTTAAAAAAACTTATAAAATATCGGATAAAACAGGAACCCATCATGAACTTAAAGTAATTCTAAAATTGAAACTATCTAATTATACAGCCTTAAAATATATACAGCAAAAACTGACACATTCCAAGGAAACTAGACAAATCTATAGTCTAGATAAATACTAGACAAATCTACAGTCTAGATACAGTGAGATATTCCAATAGGTTGTAATTTTTTGTTGTTATTTGTTTTTTAGAAATTGATAGGTCCAACAGACCAAAAAACTCACCAAAGATTTAACATATTCTATGAAAAATACACTCTATGAAAATACATTAAAACCTGATGAAATGGAGGGGCTCCTGGGTGACTCAGTTGGTTAAGTGTCCAACTTCGGTTCAGGTCATGATCTCACAGTTTGTGGGTTTGAGCCTCGCATTGGGCTCTGTGCTGACAGCTCAGATCCTGGAGCCTGTTTCAGATTCTGTATCTCCCTTTCTCTCTGACCTTCTCCTGCTCTCTCTTTCTCTTTCTCAAGAATAAATACCATTAAAATTTTTTTCTTAAACAAAACATGGATGGAATGGTACATTTTTTTTGGAAAACAATTTGGTACAATTGACACCAAAAGAAATGAAATCTAATTATGTAAAAAAAAAAAATGGAGAGATTAGCAAAGAATGCCTTCTAAAGGTGCATGAAGCCTACATTCTCTCACTGGGATCTCAGAGCAGAGAATTCTAATCATAGAAAACTGATAAAACCAAAAGTACTCCTATTACAGATAAAGAAATGATTTCCCTAATACCTGAAGAACTCCTGTAAATCAGCAAGAAAGAAAGACCAACAACTAACAAAAAACCACAAAAAATCTAAGGGTTCTATTCAAAGAAAGGGAAATATTAGCGGCTGTTAAGCTTTTGATAAGACAATGAACTCACTCGTAATAACAGAACTGCTAATTTAAAACACAACAGTAAACTTTTCCCATTTTTTCATGTTGTTAAAACCTAAAAATACTTATAATACTCCCTGATGGCAAGACTAAGGAGATACAGGCATTCTCTGACACTTACAGGTGTGAATGTAAAATGGCATGAACCACTATGAAGGTGAATTCAGCAATAACTATCAACATTACAAAAGCCTAGAATTTCGACCTAGAAATTCCACTTCTGGGAAATTATAGTACATATATTGTATATATTCCTATGGCATTTTTTGTAATTGCAAAAGACTGGGAACAATCTAATTTTCATCAATAACGTATGACTGGTTAAATAAGTTCTACACCTATATAATAAATTATGTGCACCATACAAAGAAATGAGGAAACTCTCAATATACTTAAAGGAAGAAGTACAGTACTTTCACTTTTTCTGTACTTTGTAAATGCATTATTCCCTATGCAATAAATTAAATAGAAATTGTTCAAGAAACTTGAAATTAACTTATAGGTTATAGACAGAAAACATGGGCGCGTGCGCGCGTGTGCACACACACACACACACACACACACGCACACGCACTCACAGGAGGCCAGGAAGACAGGAATGTGAGAAGAGTCTGTGCTGGGCTGAGAGCTGGCCCAGAACACAACAGTCCGTACATACACTAGGAAACTTTGGCTTGGGGTCACCCACAGGAATTTTCATCCACTTTTGCAAGATGATAAATCATGTGTGTTAATTATGGTTTTTGACAGGAGAGGCAATGATATGTTTCCATTCCTAACATCCTGCATTTAGATAATCCCCAAGAGCTTTTACAAACTGACTGCCAATAAACTACCAAATCACTAGAAAAATAAATATAGCAAACTCCGAGATGAGAAACTAATTCTGATGCCACAAAGAATAAATTCAAAATGGCTCATGACAAAAATATGAAATGCCCCAGCTATTTGAGTCTACCTTGGATACTGAGGAGAGAATAAATTCACTTAATCAACACATTTGAGGCTGATGGAATGCAAAATCTTCTAAAACACTGAATCTCAAAATACTGAATACTCTCCCTCTAATGTAGGAAATTCTAAAGATTTAAGTAGGTCTTGTATATTCCACAGTTCTGGCGCCTAGCAGGTGAGCCAGCAATACATTTAAAATTAAGCTGTCTGGAGGACTTAAGAATGTTATCAATTAAATGTAAAGAATGAATACATAGATGCATAAAGCAATGAAAATTAGTTTCCCTTGGAGATTTTGGCAGCCAAGAAATCACCAGTGCCCTTGAATCCATGCTTAAATTTGTGTCTTATCAAGCTCTCTTTTCATTGCTTCTAAAAGTGCTACTTGAAATAAAAGAGAAAATCACCACATGTCCAGGATTAAAATTATTAAAGTTTATTTGGTGCTAATGTTATGGGAACCATATTTGTACTGTACATGGAATCAGTAAGTTCCTCACTTAAACACACAGGAACTTTTAAAATAATGGTGCACATGCTCTCATTTAGGTTAATAAACCATATGATAGCAACATAAAGGATTCAGCAAAAGAACACTTCTCCTCACAGCTTTGGTATTTTCATCAAGCCACTCTGCCAAGAGATCTTGGGAGTATAGTTAGTCCCAAGCTGTTTCTGGGACATAAAACCAGCCAGCTGTTTGGCCATGTTGTGTGCAGCTTCCTTCTATCATTTTGCCCCCACTCTCCTTCAAAATAAATCATAATATTAGGTAGGATATTTCCATTGGCGCTTTGCTGTGTAATCCCAAGTCCACTGGAAAGCTTAGCATACTTCCTGATCTCCTGTGGGGTGACAACTAGAGGGTGTCTATCTTCAAAAAGATGAAAAGTGTCAGTCCTTGAGACCACCACGGCCTTGCTGTGAGGCCGTGGGAAGCCTGTGGCAGTCTGGTGTCTTCTGAAATGATTTCCATTACAGACATGTTGGATAGTATATGTTCATGCTGTCAGAGGAATTCATGCCAACTGAAAATATCAGCGTGATTAACAGCCGGCTTTCTAGATTTTAAAATTTACTCTTCTTTGAAATTAGTTTGCACAGATAAATAAAAATTTTAAAAAAAAACTGAGAAATATCTTGGTTTATGACCAAATGTCTAAATCAATATTATACACTACCCATCTAAATAATTCTGTTTCTTTAGTGTAAGCATACTATTGAAATCACCTCTCCTTTGCAGATGGATAAGACCTCTGTGCTTCGAAGGTATTTTTGCCTTTATGATTAGAATATAACTTAAAAAATGGTCTTTTGCAGCAAAAAAATCAATTCCAGTATGGATAATTGTCCCTTATGATTATACTTTTCTATTTATATGACTACTTCTGCTTTGGATTTCTGGAAGAACTATACACCTAATATGTTCCTCAATGATACAAGTTTATTGAGTGAATGGGTGGGTGGGAGAATGATTGTGAAAGATGATTAATAATTATCAGAAACTTTGAAATGAGCAGTACTCTTTTCATACATTTTTAAGTCCCATGTTCTATTTTTTATTTGAGAGAGAGAGAGAGGGCAAGCATGGGAGAGGGACAAATGGTGAGAGAGAGAATCTTAAACAAGCTCGACACTCAGCACAGAGCCCAACGTAGGGCTCAGTCCTAAAACTATGGGACCATGACCTGACCCAAAATCAAGAGTTGGATACTCAATGGACTACGCCATCTAGGAGCCCCTAAAATCACTTTTTTATTACTAGTCTTTAAATGTGCCAGTGAAGTAGGTACAGCAACTTGAAAGTGAGGTGATCCCAGGAGATAGAACATTAAAATCTATATGTATAGGACGAGATTAGCTGTCTATATGTGTGGGCAAAGAATTTGTATATAAATGGGTGGTTGAGACTTGGGGAATCTCTTAAATCCAATCATGCTTAATATATTTTAAAGAGGAAGAGTAAGATTGCAATAACTTTGAAAAATGAGCCTAATTACTTTTATTTTATCCTGTGAAGGGGGGGGTGTATATTTGGAGAAAGGGGGTGAGCTGTGTGAAGCTGAGGAAAAGGGGATAGTGCAATAATTTGTCACTGTGTTTCTGGCACAGAGCAAAGGCTCTGGTTCTGACTCCAAGTGATCAATAGAAACCCACATGATCAATCTTCAGTCCTCACCATACTTGATCCCTTTGCAGCATTTAAAACAACTGATTACTACCATGTCTTGGACACCACAATTGGACACCGTGGGGACACCTCTCCCACTACCTTTCTCAATCTCCCTCACTGCTTCCTACCTTCACTTCTCCCTGACTTTCTAATATTGGAGCACTACAGTGCCCAGTCTTTGGCCATTTCTTCTTTTCTATCCACACTTAGTGATCCCATCAAAACTCACCAGTTTAAATACTGTCCCTAATTATATGTATGATTATATAATAATTATATATAATTATATGTATGATTCATAAAAGTAAACACATCCTGTGGCAAAACTACATACATGCCTACGTCCGTACATACCATCTATACAGGCGTCTCCCACACCTGTATCTTCAGGCCTCACCTCTCCTCTGAAGGTCAGGATACAGAATCCATCTGCCTTCCGGATATACTGGCATGGCTCCCATATACGAACCTCAAATTTTTATCTCGGACTGATTTCCTGCTCTTCAGTCCCCTAATCTCCCCAACCTCACTAAATAATTTCAGCCTTTCAGCTACC